AAAACCGCCACTAATCAAACCGAGGCCCTTAATGCAATCGCATACTTCAAATCCCAATTAACCAGTACCCCAGAACGTGAATCATTCAGTTATTCCAACGGGAATATTGTCGGGTATATGTGGGTAGGAAGCATGATCCAAAATAGTGGATTTGCAACCAGTAATGCCATGGAAGTCATCTATGATGAAGTTTATAATAATGGTATCCCCAATTCACTTTATATCGAATATGTTGTCCCTGGTGATCCCACGAATGGATTTGGAGTTGTTTTGGATACTGGTGGAACTAAAAATTATGGAAATATGCAAAGAGCAGTTCGATTATGGTCTGAAGGTAAACCATTTAATACTTATCAAGGTAGTAAGAATTATACTGGGAAATCTTATTGTGTTTTAGATTGGGCCGATAGAAAAACGATTGTTAATGATCCAGGAGCAGGGACATGTGATTATGTGAAATTACAACTGGGAGTTGCAATTACTACTACTGCAGGTATTGATAGTGAAAGTATAGATGCATATAATCCAAGTTTGAATTTTAGTAATTTACAACCAGGACAACCAGTTTGTAAATCAGTTGGTATTTTACCTGATTTAGCACCAAAACCAAATGCAAATGGGACATGTTTCACCTATACAATCAAGAGTGGTGATAGTTGTGCAGCCATCATAGCTCCATATTATCCCCTTTCAACCACTAATTTAACCACCTATAATTCTGCAAATTTGGCTTGGTTCGGTTGTGATAATCTTATAGTTGGTAATTCAATGTGTTTATCTTCCGGAACACCACCAGCACCAACAGTTAACCCATCTGCCGTATGTGGACCAAATGCTCCTGGAACTTGGACTACTCCTCCAACATGTCCAAATAATGGATGTTGCAGTATATATGGACAATGTGGAGATTCTGCCGACGTTTGTGAACCTAGCGTATGTTATTCCAATTGTGGATATGGAACATTACCTACTGAATTTGCCACTAGTTTTAAACAAGTTGGATATTGGTTAGATGATACTGGTGGTAGTCTTGACTATAATGTAAATAATATTAATACTACTCAATATGATATTATTCATTATTCATTTGCAACCATAAATTCCGATCTTTCATTATCTGTTGGTGCTGGATTCCAAGATTTTTTAAATTTAACTAATGTTAAAAAAGTTGTTGCCATCACGGGATTACCTGCCAGTGATTCTGCTACTGTTTCAGTTGAAGATGGTGATGATACAACCGTACTGCAAATGTTTTCACTTGCAGTTTCTAGTTCTGCCAATATTGATACATTTGCTACTAATATTGTTAATTTCATTCAACAATATAAATTAGATGGTGTTCATTTAGATTGGGAATATCCAGCTTCAACTACTGATGGGGCTAATTATAATTTAATCTTCAAAACTATCAAATCCAAAATGTCAACATTAGTTTCAATTTCATTACCAGCTTCATATTATTATCTTCAATATTATCCCTTAAAAGATTTCGATAAAAATATGGATTATTTCATCTTAATGAATTATGATTATTTCGGACAATGGGATTATTCCACCGGAACAGGAGTTGGTTGTCATGTTGATAAAAACATAACTATTGAATCAATTGAAATGATAGTTAAATCAGGAATCAATACCAAGAAATTATATGGAGGTGTTGCAAATTATGGAAGAACATTCCAATTAAACTCCACCAGTTGTAATACTTATGGATGTCCATTCACCGGACCAAATTCTGGAGCAATCCCAGGTCCATTAACTGATTTTGCTGGATTTATGAGTGAGAATGAATTATTAGCAATTAATAAATCTACTAGAACCAGATGGAGTGATGCTGATTCTCATTGTGATATTATGACTTATGAAGATGGTACTAATTGGGCTGCATGGATGAAGGCTGCTGAACGTACTAATTTGATTGAATGGTATCAACAGATTGGACTTGGTGGAAGTGCGTTATGGGCCCTTAATTATGATTTACCTGTAAGTTGATAGATTTTGTATAACTTTATAGAGTTTTTCCTAATAGAACATGTCGTTTTTAAAATCCGACCTTGATTTGCTCTCTGAAAAATGAAAAGTACCCTAGCCTTTTCCGTTTGTAGTCACGTCAATTGATCAATTGAATAATATTTCGTTGATCGAGTAAGTTTTCGTTGCTGCAAAGTTTATTATGGATATGTCATTATTGCCTCTGATTAGAAGTTTTTAAATCCTGTTCTGATGATTATGCGGGCAATGTATAACAATGGATAATCACGGATAAACTGAATTGTTGACGGGCGTTATCAATATGGGCACAAATAGAAAACGGGTATCATGCCTGTATTTCCGATTTCGTGAAACTACATCTTGTTAAGGTGCAGGGTTGCGGTTGTAGATACAGTACATGACAAACGAACTTATCCTCGGAAAACAAAGACACAAAAAATATACTCGAAGACTATGTGCTATTTTTCGTTGCCTAGATACAGTTATGAAAGCCGCGGTTTAAGTAGCAACAAAACATAATGTAATACAAAGAGACGGAAGAGGCGGAATAATTGTATAGTACTGAAGTGTGTTAGACGAATATGCTCTGATTTTTTTTTACTATGGCGCGTTTTTTCCATTGTAGCCGATAGGGATTGATTGTTTTGTCTCACATAGCAAAGTAAGTACAAAGATAAAATCTCAATTGACGACCGATTAAAAAAATGATGAGGGTACGGCTCTTTTTTTTGTTGGAAACCGTTTTGACGCCGATGTCAGATCATCAATTATATTCTGACGATGGAAACATAGTTTTTAAATTTATGTGGTTGTGTGTTTGATTCTACTACAACTGTGGTGGCAATTATGAATATCCACAATAAAATGGGGGATGAAATTATTGGATAAGGGGTGAGTAGTGGTGAGCTGGGCTTATCTATTTTTAGGTCACCTTTGTTTCCCAATTAGGAAACGCGACAACATACGGCTAAAACTCCAAATCACTGTTTTATTTTTTTTTTTAAACTTTTCTTCAAATTTTATTTTTTCTTAGCCTTTCAAATTGACACAGCCCTATCCCCCACCACCCATAACAAAAAAAAAAGAGGATGATGCTGTCAATTGGCTGAAAAGAATCCAGCGTACATCGAGGAAAGGAATTAATTGATAGAGGAATCACTTGAATAGAGAGTTTTATAGATTATTAGTTGTATTAGCAGTATTATATATTAACATTAAACAAATTTAAAAAACTCATTAAAAAAAAGAAAATCTGACAGAAAGATATTTTATTTATTATATTAAAAGGACCCAATCATTTTTAATTCTTTGCAGCAGAAGTCTTTTTGAATTTCTTCAATAACTTCTTAAATACATCAGTTCTCTTGTGAGCCTTATCAATCTTGTCACTAGTGTCTTTGACTTCAGCTTTGGCAGCATCAGCAGCATCTTCACCTTCTTTAGGAGCACCTTCTTCAGCAGGTACATCACCTTCTTTTGGAGCGCCTTTGGCAACTTCTTCACCTTCTTTGGCGGCTTCTTCAACAGCAGGTTCTTCAGTAACAGTAGCATCTGGAGCAGGAATTTCTTCAGCGGCGGCAACTTCAGGTTCAACAGCAGCAGCAACAGCAGGTTCTTCAGTAGTTGTGGTTTCTTTTGGAGCTTCTTCTTCAGTAGTAGCAGCTGGTTGTTCTTCTTGTTTGGATTCTTCCTTTGCTTTACCTTCTTTCAATTGTTTATCTAAAGCTTCTTTTGAATCAGAAGAAAAGATTCTTGAAACTCTTTTAACTCTATCTTTAATTGTCATTGTATGTGTGTATGAATATATATATATGTTATGGATTAAAAGAAGAAAGAAGAAGAAGAAAGAGAAAGGAAAAAAAAGGGAAGAATTTATTTATTTAAAAAACAGCAGATTTAATTTAATTTATATTTCTCTCTTTTTTAATTAGAAAGAGAGAGAGAGAGAGAATATCTTCTTTTATTTTTTAAGAATTTTTTTTTTTTTTTGAGAATACCATTTATTCTAGTTCGTATACATAATAACATACAGAAATATAATAAACAGATATACAAATAGAGGAACAAAAAAATGCATCAGCCAATGATTCAAAAAACCTCATATAAGCAACATAAATTAGTAGGTGTATAGGGAAGGAATTGTAGTTAGAGTGAATGTTACCCAAATCTTAATAAAGGAAGTGGAGAGGTCCACCTCCAGGCCAACATGCCGTCGAAAGTATAAGAAACGGGAGACAACATAAAGGTAACGATTAAGGACAAACGATTGGTAAGGTGATAAAGCTGCATTGCAAATAAAGTAGCGAAGTTTCCTTGGAAGATTCGGTGGGTGGAGCTGTGCCCAAATAGCATTAGTAATTGGACATTTAGTATAGATATGATGAAAATAGAACCGGCCCAAAAGGGAACGTCCACAAAACTCGCAGACTTTATCCGAATAATGAGTACCATGACCTAAATTAATTCGGTGGAGTGTATCTAACCCATCCGGATATCGATGTTTAGCTTTAAGAATTTAATTAACACGAAACAAACGAACAACTGTAAAAAGTAAAAGTCATTTACTAAAATTATTTTTTATTTTAGAATTTAAAATTTGCCAGTAATAAATAAAATAAAAAATACTCATTGTTGTTTCAATTATTATTTATTATTTTGTAATTTGAATTCTTCACGAAAACTACAATTAAATTAAAAACGCATTGAATTACTTTCAGACGATTTTACTAATTTAGTAACATTACATTTTATAAGGAAGAGGAAGTTAATAGTTAAAGGATTCTTCATATTTTAATCGATCAAGTCATAATTAGTTTTTATAATTAAAATCATCCAAATGTTTAATAATTATTTTTTTTATAATTAGTTACCAAGTTAGAAAAAAACAAAACTAAAAATATTTTTTTTTTTTTTTGAAAAAAATTGTGTTACAGCCGTGCACAAATTTATGAAACTTCGCGTAACTACCGGTGGGTAACAACCTATTTAAGCTTCTTTTTTATTCACTCTTCAAAATAAATTTGAAATTTTATAGGCGGAGGATCATTCATTTACATTTATTAATTGAATATTTGAGTTTATCATGATTTCATGATGTAAGCGAATTAAAAAGGGTCTCATTTTGTTAGCGATTCCTAAACCTAGAGTAGAAACAAGTTAGAAGAGTTGATGATAAATTAGCATATTTTAATCGAAGGAACAAAAAAAGTCACTCAAAACGATTGGTCATCTGAACTTACGTGTCATAAAACTCACCAGTCGGGTATGGAATATTTTAAGATATAAATCTCTACAAGATTCAACAATAACCAAATGTACTCCACTTAAATAGAACTGTAAACCATTTATCACAGATGATAACATACATCATTTTCTTTTTGATAATTATCAGATCAAATCTATGGGGCTGTACTGCATGATGAGCTACAAACTCACCCTGTTATCAGTATGGCTCTCAAATTGTGTATGATAACGACAATTTTCTTGGTCCAAACTATTCTGTTGTATCTTAACACTAAGAACTTTAATCAAACCTTTGCACAGTATTTTCTTTTATCGAGGAAGCACGTAAAGATAAGATAATGATAGTTTCAACCTCCCCCCTCTCATCTCTTTGCAATACCAAGCATTCCAACTGAATTATGGACACCAACCACGATGCCGCTACCAAATGAAAATACTACCTACAAAACATCCATACATCAATACATATCGTGTTTGTTTTTGTTTGTGCCCAAACCAAAAAAAATCATAAACATTCAGAATTTGAAATTTACAACCACAACAACAACGTCAATCCAATCAAACTAAATAACATCTATAGATCAATCAGTTGATTAGCACATACACATGACCAATCCACTACTATCACCGTCTGTATTCAACAGCATTCAGTCTACATATTCTGCCCAGTCCAACAATCTATCATCTGCATATTCATCATCAACAACAAAATCACGAATGATTGAAACCCAAAAATCCACCAAAAAGGAAAGAAAACCATTAGGAAAACTTTCGATAAATAGAATCCATGCCACAACTTCTACTACTACAACTACTGAATTTAAAGTACTGAAACCAAAACTGATGATGATGCCGAATGCTCGATCACTTATGACAAGTCCAACTCCTTTGAATTATCAAACAATGCGACAATTGGGTTCACCAACCAGACAACAACAAAAGAAGAAAAAGAATACAGGGACAGTTTCATCATCTCCACCGACTCCAATGTCAATCCCAGATGAATTACATTCAAATAGAGACACTATCACTGGTGGTGGTGGACTTTGTTTAGATGATTTTGAATTGGGTAAAATATTAGGAAAAGGGAAATTAGGTCGAGTTTATTGTGCAAAACATAAAAAACTGGGATTAATAATTGCATTAAAAGTAATGGATAAACAAGAATTAATTGAATTAAATTTAGAAAAAAATTTTGAACGAGAAATTAAAATTCAATCAAATTTAAATCATAAAAATATATCAAAATTATATACTTGGTTTTATGATTATAAAAATGTTTATTTAGTTTTAGAATTTAGTATATTTGGTGAATTATATTTTCATTTAAAAAAATCAAAAAGATTTGATAATATTGTGGCAAGTTATTATATTTATCAAGTAACTAATGCCCTATGGTATTTACATCAAAATAATATAATTCATCGAGATTTAAAACCAGAGAATATAATGTTAAGTTCTGAAAGTACGATTAAATTAAGTGATTTCGGATGGTCAGTTCATCATTCATCCCATCCATATACCCCAGATTACAACCACAGATCATCTTCCTCATCATCTTCAGCTTCGACGTCAAGTTCATCCTCCAGCGCAGCGAAAAGATTAACAGTATGTGGAACTTTGGACTATTTACCTCCAGAAATGATTGAAAGCAAAAAACACGACCATAAAGTCGACAATTGGGCATTAGGTATATTATTATATGAATTCTTAGTCGGTATACCACCATTTGAAGAAGTGGAAAAAGAAGCAACATATAAACGAATTATAAATATTGATATTAAATTCCCTCGGTTTTTAGATAAAGATGCCATAGATTTAATCAGGAAATTATTAGTTAAAAATCCTGAAGATCGATTAGATTTGAATAAAGTATTGGAACATAAATGGATTATTAAAAATAAACCATATTGGCCAAAATCGTAATATTACATAGCATAGATATATATTTCTTATATAAACACATTATTATAGAAGTAAAAAGTTACAGTTGTAGAAGTTGACCAGCAGAATTCCCAGGTGATTGTGATTGGACTTGTACCTGTCCTTGTCCCGTCACAGAAGCGGCAGCACCTCCAGAACCAGATCCCAGCATTTGTTGTTGTTGTTGCAATTGCTGCTGTCGTCTCTGTTTCAACAATAACTGTTGCTGTTGCTGCTGCTGTTGTTGCTGTTGTTGGAATTTCATTAATTGTTGTTGGAATGCCTGTTGTTGCATACTATTCTGTTGAGAAGTCATTAGGATAGCTTTTGAAGGTGCTCTAACTTGATACATTTCCCCAGCTATTGCGCTGAAGCCCTGGGTTGGAGAATCGGAATTCGGAGGAGGGGCAGCATCGACATTTATAAGTGCACATCTACCTTGCAATCCACCAATAGAACCCGATATTGCTTGATTAGCCAATGTTTGTTCACCATGTTGACCCAGTTGTTGTTGTTGTTGTTGTTGCTGCTGTTGTTGTTGACTATGATGAGGAGAAATTATCAACGCATTGGCATAAAACTCCCGAGCTTGTAAAAACCGATGACGATATCTCACCGGCATAATAATTTTCCTTTCCAACGGAATCGGATTATTCTTCGAAAGCCCCTCCAATACCAAATGAGTCTCTTCATCAGGATCCAATATTTTATTATAGTTAAGATGTGAATCATGATCTCCATCCACTCCATTATATCCACCCCCAGCACCACCATGAAACGCCGCATTCTCCTTCCTCTGGGCCGCCAATGCATGTGAATGGGCAATCTTGGCTTGATTCCTCTTTTGATATTGTTGTAATAAGACATCATAAGGTTGACTTCTACCAGGTACGGCTCTTTTAGCACCCATAGAATGGGTTTTACAAGTTAATGACCTCGCACAGAGACCTCCATTGGATAGGGCCACCCCACATTGTTTTTCAATATCGACTGGTCCTTTTGGTTTGGAGATGGTTTTGGGTTGTTTTGGTTGTTTTTTCTTACGTGGTTCACGAGCTTTTTCAACTGGACTTGAAGTGACTGTTGTTGGTGGTCCTGCTCCTCCGGAAGAAGATGCAGCTGCAGCGGCGGCGGCGGCAGCTGCTGCTGCGGCATTGGCTGCTTCTTTTTCTTTTTGGGTTTGTGATTTTTTGTATTTCTTCTTTGGTTTCACGGGAGTGGAATCTTTGGTATTGGGTATCGGGGTGTTGTTTCTAGTTGTATCTACTGAAGAATCAATATCTAAAGCAGCAGCAGATGCAGCTGCTCTTCCTCTTTTCTTTTTGGGCGAGTTGCCTGCTAATGTTGGATTATCAAGTTGTTCTTGTTGTCTTTTTTGTTTCATTTCAATACACTGTTTATAATGATTATTTAAAGATTTTGAACCAATTGGTCTTTGACAAGATTTACAAATTTTATAGATAATATTCTGTGATAAATATGATTTATCAGGATATGAATTAATTATAAATTGATTTAAATCTGTATGTTGTTGTTGTTGTTGTTGTAAGTCTTCTTCTTGTTGTTGTTGCTGTTGTTTGATTTCAATTTTCTTATCTAAATATACACCAAACTCTTTCCAAATTATAGGTTTATTTTTCGAATCAATCAGGTCTGTTGAAAGGGTGTTTACTTGAGCTAATGTGATTACTTGATCCGAATTCAGTGACATATCGTCTTATGGAAAGGGGTGTGAGAGTGTTTGGAAATAATTGGTGATGGGGATACTTGATGAATGATTGAATTAAACAAGGGAGCACGCGTTATATCGTTTCGATAGTATTAAACAAGTTTAGTTGCAAGCTGTTAGATGAAGTTGTTGGCTCTTGATATATTAGCTTTTTGGATTTAGAATAACCTGTAAATTTAAACGGCAAAAATCCACAAGACAACAAAAGTGAAGGTTTTTTTTTAAAAAAAAAGAAAATAATGTTTTTTCTGTTGATTGGTCGGTCTTTGGTTTATTGGTTGGTAAGTTAGATTATACTAGGGATAGGGTGTGATTGTTGGTCTGTTGTTGATGGTTGATAGATTTTTAAATAAAGAAAGTGTTGATAAATTGTTGTTGTTAGTTTTGTTAAAAAAATCCCTTGAGTTGCTAAAAAAAACCCTTTTTCTTAATTTCATCAACTCACTTTCAGATCTCTTTGAATCTTTTTGTCTAACTAACTATACTTCCCACAATCAAGTAGTCAACACAAGTCAAAATGTTAAGAAGACCAGCAACAACAATTAAACTATCACCAGAAGATATTTTAGAATATGATGAATCATTAAAGCAAAAACTAGAATTACAACAGCAACAACAACAATCAATCAATGAATTGAGTCAATACAGTCCTCAAACACTGATTTTACAAGAACAAATTGGTGGATCAAGTGATATGATGCAAGGTTACAAACAATCAAGTTCGATTAATCAACAAGCTGGAAATCAATCTAGAGATGATAGAATAGGTGTTCGTAAGAATTGATATCACCCCACCACTATAGAAGTTATGTATGGAGACAGCGCTTTCAATTAGCATCGTTACACAAGAGGAACTGATATCACCAGGCGTATCCAGTAAGCTTATAATACAGAAGCTGGGTATGGCTATTTATATATCATCATAAGGATACAGATCAGACTCGTTTCGATTTACTGGTTGATCAGGGAGTTGGTTTTCTTAGTTAAATAGTAGTATTAAAAGATAGAATACTCAATGCAGCACATATATTTCCATTTCGTTTTCCGTACGGTTTTGTCTATCAATGTATATCGTCCATCCTTTGAATAGTTCGTGAGTTCACAAGAGTTACTCTCTCCAAACAACCAAGAGTTGATTATCTATTCATCCTTCTAGAGCTGAAAAATATCAAAAAATTGGAAGACTCCCTTAACTTTTCCAAATGCAGTACACTATGGAGATGTATAGATATATCACACCAGGGTTAATCTAAGGTCATGTCGTCTATCTTGGTGATACATACATAAAGAATCCATATTTGTTACAATTTCACACGACCCTTTTATTTTCTTTTTTCCATCGCAGCCAACAAGATTGAAAATATTTCTGATTACTCACCCAATTTTTTTTATTTATTTGATGGAGTACCAGAACCACCAGAAACAATATCATGAGTACAGGTAAATTAATTCTTGGGATCTGTAGTGTATTCTATCTTCTCCTGGGAGGAAGATGGACTCTTGTTATTTTAACTTATGGACTTTCCTTATTATATTCTTTAGAAAAGAAATCATCTCAAGAATCAACTGAATCATTAGCTGAACCTACTACTATCAAAGAAAAACCTGCTACTACTAAAGAATCTCCCATATATGCAGTTGACTTCACTTCAACCACATTCACCCCATCATCAACTACCGAGATTCCAAAATCCATCCGAGGATCAAGACCAAAAAGATCACCAAAAGTCATTAAAGCCATCAAACCAACCGTCCCAACTTCCGAACCAATCTTATCAAGATCAGCAGTTGATTTAACTCAAGCACAAATATATATATTCTATACCACTTTAACTGGATCATCCCATAGAGTAGCTAAATCACTTTTGACCAAACTTGAATCACTTTCATTAACCCATCAACCTAAATTATTAAGTCTTGATGATGATGTTGATGATTTAGAAGAATATTTCCTCAAAACTCCAACCAAAGAAGATGTAAAAAATATCTATCTTCTTGTATTACCTTCCTATGAAACTGATTCTCCTATTGATTATTTCTTGGAACATTTACAAGACACTTATCAAGATTTCCGAGTTGATAAATATCCATTAAGACAATTATTAGGATTTGCGGTATTGGGATTGGGAGATTCTGAATCTTGGAAGGGGGATAAATTCTGTTATCAAGCCAAATTGGCTGATCGATGGATGGGGAAATTAGGTGCAAGAAGGTTATTCCCGGTTGGTGAAGTATGTATGAAATATCAAGGTGAACCAAGGGCACAAGAATGGATCAATGATTTTGCTACTTTGTTGATCGATGATGAACCATTTTATATTGATGAAAATGATGATGTTGATGATAGTGATGCCGAACAAGAGGATACACAAGATGATAATGATACATTAGTTGATGTTGAAGAAATGGGAACTATTATTAGAAAGAATGGGAAATCAGAATTAGAAACTAAAGAAATGGTCTCCAAAGATTCTCCTACTTATAAATCACTTACAAAACAAGGATATACTATAGTTGGATCACATTCTGGAGTTAAGATTTGTCGTTGGACAAAATCAGCATTACGTGGACGTGGATCATGTTATAAATTCGCTTTTTATGGGATTAGATCTCATTTATGTATGGAAACCACCCCATCATTAGCCTGTTCTAATAAATGTGTCTTTTGTTGGCGTCATGGTACAAACCCCGTTGCTAAGCTGAATTGGAGATGGGAAGTTGATCCACCTGAAAAAATCATGGAAGGTGCATTAGCAGGTCATTATCAAAAGATTAAACAAATGAGAGGTGTGCCTGGTATACAAATGGATAGATTCCAAGAAGCATTCAGAGTAAGACATTGTGCATTATCATTAGTTGGAGAACCAATTTTTTATCCTCATATTAATGAATTCGTATCCATGCTTCATGAACAACATATTTCATCTTTCCTTGTTTGTAATGCCCAACATCCAGATTGCTTGGCTAAGTTAAACAAAGTTACCCAATTATATGTTAGTATTGATGCCCCTACCAAAACCGATTTGAAAAAGGTGGATCGTCCATTAAATAGTGATTTCTGGGAACGATTAATGTCATGTCTTGATATTCTTGCCACTACTCAATCCCATCAACGTACAGTTTTCAGATTAACTTTAGTTAAAGGGTTCAATATGAATGATATTGAGAGTTATGCCGATATGGTTCAACGTGCAAAACCATCCCAGATTGAAATCAAGGGAGCTACATTCTGTGGATCATCCAATGGGAATGGGAACCCATTAACGATGCAAAATATCCCATTTTATGAAGAATGTAAAGATTTCGTGGTGAAATTAACTAATGAATTAAAATCTCGAGGATTGGATTATGATATTGCGGCAGAACATGCTCATTCTTGTTGTATTTTGGTTGCACATAATCGTTTCAAGATTAATGGGAAATGGCATACTCATATTGATTATCCCAAGTTTTTTGAAATGTTGGAACAAGGTAAAGAATTTGTTGATATTGATTATGTGAAGGAAACTCCAGATTGGGCAGTTTGGGGTAGTGAAGGAGCTGGATTTAATCCAGAAGACACTAAGTATGATAGAAAAGCTGAGAAATTGAAGAAGAAGTTGGAAAGAGATGAACAAGCCAAGAAGGTGATTGAACAAATAGCTTGATAGTTTTATAGTGTATTTTGTATATCTTTGTATTTTAGAAAATAAATTTGCAACTTTTTAACAAGAAAAAAGCAGAGTTGCCTTGGGAATGATGACAAAGAAACACCATCGATCGAATACACTCTTTTCTTATTGGATTTAAAACTATTTCGATGATTATACAAAAAAGTAAGAATAAAGAATATCCTCTTTATATTCTCTGTAGTTACTCTGTGTATTGGTTTACTCATTAAATTGAACTCCTCCTCTAACTTCCAACCAGTGGGATTTTTTAAAATTGCGCTCCTTCCAACAAGTTGAAAAAAAAAAAACCCTGAATCTCGTTTTACGTCAAATATCCAAATTTCAATTTTGATAAACAAGAAAACCTTATCACCAAACTAGTTAAGCAATGTCAGACACAACAGAACGCCAGACACAACAGCGAAAGAAGATTGCATTTATACATCCAGATTTAGGTATAGGAGGAGCTGAAAGATTAGTAGTAGATGCTGCAATTGGATTACAATCTTTACAAAATGATATTACTGTCTATACATCACATTGTGATCCAACTCATTGTTTTGAAGAAGTTAAACAATTAAGAGTTAATGTATATGGAGATTTCTTTCCAACTCATATATTCAAAAGATTTCATATCTTATGTGCAATTATTCGACAATTATATCTTGTTTTTAAGATGATTATTGGTGGTGAGATTGGTGAATATGATTATTTTATTGTTGATCAATTGAGTATTTGTGTTCCATTTATCGGTTGGTTTAGTAATGAAGATAGTAGGATATTGTTTTATTGTCATTTCCCTGATCAATTATTAGCTAAAAGGACAAGCAAATTAAAGGAATTATATCGATTACCATTTGATAGATTTGAAGAATGGAGTACTGGATTAAGTGATGTTGTTGTTGTTAATTCTAAATTCACGAAAACAATTTTCCATTCTACATTTAAGAATCTAAACCATATGTCTCCAGGAGTAATATATCCATGTGTTGAAACTAAGATTGAAACCGATGAAATCGTTGATCTTGAAGTTGAAAATTTCTTTAAAGACAATAAATATTTCCTTTCAATTAATCGATTCGAAAGAGCCAAGAATATCGAGCTTGCAATCAAAGCATTTCATAAACTGAAGAAATTACTTCCAAAGAAAGCAAAATTGGTAATTGCAGGAGGTTATGATTCAAGAGTGGTTGAAAATGTTGAATATTTACATGAATTAACTTCATTATGTGATTCTCTTAAATTAACAAATTTTACAATTAGAGGAAAATTAATTATGATGCCTCCTTCTACTGAAGTATTGTTTTTACCTTCAATTAGAAGTAATTTAAAAGTATCATTAATTAAACAAGCGGAATTATTATTATATACTCCTGAACGGGAACATTTTGGTATCGTACCGGTTGAAAGTATGTTATATCAAACTCCAGTATTGGCAGTAAATTTCGGAGGACCTTTGGAAACAGTTGTTAATTATAATGGTGATAATTTGAATGAAGCTACAGGATACGTTGAACAATCAGATGTTGAAAAATGGGCTAAAATAATGATTAAATATTGGAATGAACTGGAAGAGATTAAATCAAAACTTGGTGAAAATGGATATCACCGAGTAATTGAAAAGTTTTCAAGAGATAAGACAAGTCAAGAATTTATGGATTATTTACTTACCCTGAATAATTTTCCTAAAAAGTATCCTTCTTCAATGATACCTGCTGTTGCAATATTAATTATATACATACTTATAAAGGTTGTATAGAACTGGTTACTTCTTTTTGAATATATCTTTTATTGCTTCCCAGAAATGTAAGCTTGTATCCTGATTAGGATTAGGTTCGATCAGACCAGTTGCTTTAAGGTGAGGTTCATTATCATCACCCCAAATACTAAGCAACCCTGGCAGCATAGATTCTCGATTAATTTGAATAGTTGGAGATTTCCGTTTATGTTTATCAAACCATATTTCAAGATTTTTGGAGAAATTTTCAAGAGTTCTAAAATATGAATCTTTTAATTCTTTATCAATTGATAATTTAAATTTATGACCAGAACTTGAAGGACATTGTAAATTATAATCTCTAATTTGTTTATTAATTGATTCAATTTTGGCTTCAATATATTCCAATTCAGATTTAGGTAATACTTTATATCCATTAATATTAAATGTAAAATTACTTAAATTCTTTTCAAATGAATCTTCAATTACTTCTAAATTCAGAGAAACTTTCACAATTGGTGCAATACTAGAATGATGAATAATCCAAGTAAACCACATTTGATCAATTTTACTTCTAAGCCTATCAATTTCCGAATTTAATCCTCGTTGAGATTCAATCCATGGAGGTAATACTGATTGTTTATTCAATATTTGATTCATAAAATAATTCGAATCAGTACAATTTGCCAAATGTTCTCGATTTAAAGGTTTCCCTCTAACTTTTGCCATATCGGGAGTTTCAAATTGTCCCGTTTTTAAATTAATACTTGAATTAATTCGATTACTAGCAATACTTCCAACATAATCAGTAGCTGATGATGATAATGGAATGAATTGGTCTGGTCCTAATAATCTTTCTTTATACAATTCCCGGAAATTGTCATCCTTTGGTGTAGACCCACTTGATTTTGGATTTAGCTTATAATCTAGAGTAAGATCTCTAGCTTGTGCTAATTTTTCTTTGGTAGTTGATGCTGCCGCTTTTCTTGATAATTTCATTGGAGGTGGCTTCAGATCAAGAATCATTCTTAAATTGGCATCTATGTTAGTTTCTTCTCCTTGCCAAGGTTGGGTATTATAGATATCTCTAGCATGTTTGTTGGCTTTTAATAATGGTTCACTTTTGATATATGAATTTGCTTGTTTTATATCGGTGCCTGGTGGAGCATATTTTTGAAATATGGAATTGATTGATGAATCAACTTGTCGAAGGGTATTCATATTGGATGCATTTGTTGATATTTTCTCTTCTAGGATTTGTTTCATTCTTTCAACTATCGCTGAATTGATTTCATCTGCGTCTGGTTCCTTTGGAGAATCGCTTGAAGGATCATCTTTATGGTTGCTCTTATTGGATGATGTATTTACAGACTTGGTAGCATTAGATAGTGGTACTTTTGGGATATCAGAATAACATCGGAATGGAATTGATAGTATCGATCTATATGTAGGTGATTTAATTGTGACCTTTATAATCATTCTTTATGGTTTCTCGTATAAAGAAAGAAAGTGATTTATCCCCGGAGTTTGATTTTATTGGAGATCGAAAGTGTCATTACTCTTTCTTTCCTCCAAGAAGTATCATTGTATAAAATTATCTCTATAATACTACTGTATATTTAGGATAAGCATGACAATTGAGAGTAAAGTATGAAAGATCAATATCTAATTACATCATATGCTTATTATTGAATCCATGAAGGAATTATTAAACATAAGGTGATCGTATAAATCAATCCCGAGGTTATTCAAATACATTCATATATGGTAGCGCAATATATTTAACACCCATGATATTCCGATTCTCTCACAGGAGGAACAAAGAAAACAACACATAGCACATTTTTTTTTTTTCTTGTTGGTCAATTTCATTTCTTTCCAAGTTTGATTAAACCTATAGAAAGTATACAATTAGTATAAAGTAAACGATGTGGCTCTTTGATTGGTTTCAAGATGTTTTAGCATCATTAGGATTATGGAATAAACATGCAAAATTATTATTCTTAGGTTTAGATAATGCTGGTAAAACTACTTTATTACATATGTTAAAGAATGATAGATTAGCAACATTACAACCAACTTTACATCCTACTTCAGAAGAATTAGCTATTGGTTCTGTAAGATTCACTACTTTCGATTTAGGTGGACATCAACAAGCTAGAAGATTATGGAAAGATTATTTCCCTGAAGTTAATGGTATTGTCTTTTTAGTTGATGCTGCTGATCCAGAAAGATTTGCTGAAAGTAAAGCAGAATTAGAATCTTTATTTAAAATAGAAGAATTAAGTCATGTTCCTTTTGTCATTTTAGGTAATAAGATTGATGTCCCAACTGCTGCTAATGAAATGGATTTGAAAAATGCCCTTGGCTTATATAATACAACTGGTAAAGAAACTGGTAAATTACCTGAAGGTCAAAGACCAATTGAAGTATTTATGGTTTCTGTTGTCATGAGATCTGGTTATGGTGATGCCTTTAAATGGTTATCTCAATATATTTAGACGTCGTCCAACATACCACTAACTCACAAAGACATCCACCTGCCGCCCCCCTTCCCCCGGTTACCTATATTTTTTGATAACTTTATTTTCAATTCATCATTGTCTATCATCCTTTAATATTAATATCGAATTAAATAGTTTGTTCATTTATCAGTTTGTAGAGAAAATGATAACAATCTTTAATTAATTATTTAATTACTTTCATTAGAGTTCGATATCGCTCGCCTGCCATCTCTATCCTTTACCCTGATCCTTACCGTTTAAAATTGAATTTCTCTATTGACTGACTAAAACCACTATAGGAATCGCATTCGTCATTTGAGAGCATATCTCTCATTCATATGCATCTAAACTCATTGTTCATATCAGTATCAGATCATACACACTAACAAGAGTCTATCGCTTGGAGATCTATATTGGTTCTCACACGACAACCATATATAATATTTTTTCTTAGGTAAACTTTTCAGCTCATCCCTCTTACTAATTTTATTTTTACGACCATTGCTACTTCTACTACTACTACTATCTTATACCCATTCAAGTAGAAAGACACATCATGAGTGAGCACGGGGCTAATAAAGTATCTCTTCATCCAGAACAAAAGAAATGGAAGGCTCCAAAGGGACCAAAACCAATCCAACATAAAAATAAAAATGTAATTGGATTAGGTAGATCAATTGCTAATCAACGTAGACAAGAAAATCAAATTCAATATTTACCCGATGGAGAAATGAGATTCACTACGGATAAAAAGGAAGCTGATTGGGTGAAATTAAGATCTGTTACTCAAGAAACTGCGTTAGATGAATTTTTGAATACTGCTACTCTTGCTGATACTGATTTTACTGCTGAAAAAGGTCAACAAGTTAAGATTATTAAAGTTGGAAATACAAGTATTGTAAATCAATCTGGTCTTTTAACTGGTGAAGAAATGATTGCAATGAGACAAAAACATTTGGTATTTGAAAATAAATTAACTATTCCAAAACGACCTAAATGGACTAAAGATCAATCCAAACTTCAAATTGATAGACAAGAAAATTTAGCATTTTTAGAATGGAGAAGACAATTAGCAGCATTAACTGAAAATAACGATTTATTATTAACTCCATTTGAAAGAAATTTAGAAGTTTGGAAACAATTATGGAGAGTGGTTGAAAGATGTGATTTAATTGTACAAATTGTTGATGCTAGAGACCCGTTGGCATTCAGATGTATTGATTTAGAAAGATATGTAAATGATTTAAGTGAACCTGAACATAACAAAACTAAAAAGAATTTATTATTGGTGAATAAAGCTGATTTATTAACTAGAAATCAACGTCTTGCTTGGTCAGAATATTTCAAAATTAAAAAAATCAATTTCGTATTCTTTTCAGCTGCGAAAGCAAATGAATTATTAGAAAAGGAAAAAGAAGAATTAGAAATGTTACAACGTGATCCAGACTATGTCCCAACAACGGTTACCTCAGAACCAGAAGAAATTGAGACCAATGATTCTATTCGAATTTTAAAAATCGAAGAATTAGAACAATTATTCATGCAAGAAGCCCCCAAATTCGACCAAGACCCAGAATTCCCCGACAGAAAACTTCAAATCGGGTTAGTAGGATATCCTAATGTCGGTAAATCCTCCACCATCAATGCATTAGTCGGTTCCAAAAAAGTCTCCGTTTCTTCCACCCCGGGGAAAACCAAACATTTCCAAACCATCCATCTTTCCCCCGATGTCCTTCTTTGTGATTGTCCCGGTTTAGTATTCCCAAATTTCGCATACACCAACGGTGAATTAGTATGTAATGGTGTCCTTCCAATTGATCAATTACGTGAACATATCCCCCCAACCTCACTTGTTTGTCAACGTATTCCCAAATTCTTCTTGGAAGCAGTATATGGTATCCACATCCCCATTCAAAAAATCGAAGATGGTGGGAATGGAGAATATCCTACCGCTAGGGAATTATTGAATGCATATGCTAGAGCAAGAGGATATATGACCCAAGGGTTTGGATCGGCCGATGAACCTAGAGCTTCGAGATATATTTTGAAAGATTATGTTAATGGGAAATTATTATATGTAAACCCACCTCCAAAACAAACTGGTGATGATGAATGGACTATACCTTTATTAGAAGAATGTCGTGAATTTAATCGAGAATTATATAATTTACATAATTTACCTGAAACTAGACAACAACAAATCATGGCTGCTATTCAACATAAAGGTATAAATCTTGATGAGTTTGAATTATCCAAAGATTTATCAAGATTGAATTTCTCAATGCATATAGGTGGTGCAACAGCTACACAAGATGGTAGTGGTAGTAGTGAAAAACCAAAAACGTTGTTTTATGGTGGGAAACAAGCTGGGTTGGAAAGTGCCGGGGATGATTTAGATCGGGAATTTTTTAAGATGAATGGTGTACAAGGGAAATTTCTTAGTCCGTTTCATAAAAAGGAAGGAGAGTCCGGGAAGAATAAGAAACATAATAAAAAGAATAAGAAACAGGATAAGAAAGTTAGAGTTGTTGGTTATTGATTTTGTGTAGTTAGTTTAGATATTTAGTTTTTACGAATGGATAAGCATTATAGATTGGAATGAGATGGAATATAAAAGTTTCCGATAAGCCGGGGTTGTCTTTACTAGTACGTTTCGCAGTATAGATCAAGCCAGTCGAAAGCGATATTCATCGCTTTCAATTTACAGTCTACAAAGTTATTTTTATCATCATCATTAGAATAATTTATTATACATAAAACTCTAACCTATAGTTAGAATTCTTAAACTATAACTAATTTAGTAGATTCTGAAAGATGGACCCATGGTAGATTTAATAACCAAGGAACCAACATTTTGCCAGTTCTTCTTTAATAAAGAAACCAAGAAGTTAGCAGCCATCATGATTTGGTTAACCAAGACATCTTCTTCCATTTCAACGTTACCAATAGCAACGGCTAAACATAAGACCTTCTTTAATTGGAACTTGATGGTAGATTTAACATCAGTAACCTTACCATATAAATCATCATTATGAGAGACTGGGGTTGGGAACTTACCAGCCTTAGATAAAGTTGGACCTAACAATCTTGGGATTTGTTTAATCAAGACTTCAGAAGCAATGAAAGCATTGTATTTCTTAGCTAATTTCTTAATTAACTTCTTGTTCTTGTTTAATTTCTTCAAATCATCAACAGACATGGCATCAACACCAACAGACTTAGCTCTGTCGACATCGAAAGCATCACCAAAAATACAGATGGTCATGTTTGGTCTTGGAACTTGAGGTAATTTTAAAGTACCAGAGAAACGTTTATCTCTTTGAGGGTCATAGTTCTTTAAACCAACTTGTAATTCAACGGTTTCTAAAAAGTTTCTCTTTTTAGTTTCATTGGAGAATTCTAATAATTTGTGAACGTTTTCACGAACGTGGGAACTGGTGATCTTAGACATGATTAGTTATGGATATTTCGTCTCCCAAAAAGAATTGGTATGTAAAAACTGATTCGACGAGGATGAAGAAGAAATAAGACTAAACTGATTGAAAGATGTGATGGTGAAAAAAAAAATTTAAAGGGAAACCTTGCGAAGTGAGAGATGTGATGAAAGAAAATTTGTTTTTCGGTTACAATTTAAAATCACGTGCACAAGAACAAGAATTAGGGCTCAGCCCTAGACACGTCATCATGAATCATATTTGTGGCGATATGGAATGTCCGTTGTTTGATTATATGGAGTAAAGTAAATCAACAGTACAAACTATACACCAATGGAAATATGATACAAAGATACTTGGGAAACATTCACCTAAGCATACGATGTTTCACGACTAGCCATAGTACTCTTGCAAAGCATGGACAAAATTCCTTTGCCAAGAAGAGAAGCATCGAAGAAATCATAAAAAGCCATGGTATTGATAGTTATAATTATCTAGCAGAGTTAGATAGGAAGTTCATCATTATAGACCCATCAGTTAAAAAAGTCCTAGATATTGGTTGGGTCCCTGGAAATTGGATGGAATATACGGTTCATCAACTAACTCACTTGCATGGTATTGACGGTTCATTAGCAGATAGTGGTTGTCATGTCCTTGGATTTGATATCTTATTCCAAACCCCACCTCCTGGAGTATCCACAATCCAAGGGAATATATTTTCCAAAAGTTCTCAAGCACTTGTCATTAATCATCTAAAGGAATTCACGTGGGGACAATCCCTAAAAGTGGGTTTACCTAAGTTACAACCAGAGGATACTATTGAACCAAAATCATATTTCACCAAAGAACAAGAAGAATCTATGCTAGATCATAAACTAGACGAAGTCAACAAAGATCTCGCTCATTTAAACCTAAGTCCAAAACTACCAGACTCAGAATTAGATTTACAAAATGTCGATTTTCGAACTGATTTGGTCATATCTGATCTATCAAAACCAGGTATGCAAACAGATGGTTTTTATAGTAGGAGTTGGAGTATGCCATATAATAGACTAAACAATAATTCTCCATTGAATAATTCCGTTTTATCTCCAGGAAAAGCGTCATTAGATTTAGCTGATGCTGCATTGATGTTGACTTGTAATGCACTAAAACCAGGTGGAAAATTCCTTTTACGATTGTCTCGTGTATTTCCTCATGATAAGGAAATTCATTTATTGAACAGAAGATTGAACAAGGTGTTTAAAGTTGTTGAACGAATTAATTCTCATCCTGAAATCAAAGCTCAACCACAAGATATGATCTATTTATGTAAACACAAAAAGCAAGATGGCGAGTATACAATTTCTGATATCTTTAACATGAAAATATAACAATATACAGGAAATTACCAGGGAAAATCAGTTAAACTTCCAGAATAATTTCATTCAAAGTGGGAAAAGCGCTTGGGCACTTGAATGGAGACAGAACTTTTCGAACGATATGGGGAAATTCTTCTTTGGGTCTAGCCTTGATGTTAGCACCCTTCCTCCAGAAAGACTTGATAGAGAGAGGCAGGTAATTTCAACACCAACGAATAGCGCAATTAAATTATCAACCCGCTCCCAGACTTACCATATTCCATATTTAGATACGATAAGCGGAGATTGCCCTACTACTATTGTCTTTTGCTTCCAATAATAGTGAACATTATTCATCTTTAAGGAAGAAGTTTTTTTTTTCCTGATAATTAATTATTCTAGGATTTTCTTTTTTTGCAGCCATCCATCAAACCTGCAAAGACAATAAACAAACCAAGAAAAAATCAGACCTGTAAATACATAATTGCCTTGGCTTTATATATTCTCTGATACAATAAATGTATAAGACTATTTCTGATATAAAACCATTTCATAGTAGAAATAGCCTTATCTTTTGGATTCCATAATTATTCGTTCCAATTATAAAAAAAGGTCCAATTAGATCTTGCGTACGAATACTTGTGGTTGCAACAAGTAAATATAGAGTTCAGTAAAGGATAACAACTTAAAACTCAACTACTGGAAACCCCTTAGAGAAACAATCAAGAATTAACAAAATATATTTGTAAAGTAAAAAAAAAATGATAACACTATGAATTATACAAAATTTTTATAAATGAACTTCTACAGTCTGTAAATCTAGACCAAAAGATCTTCTTCTTCCACTTCATCATAAAATTCATCATCAATCTCTTCTGGCGAATTATCCTCTTCTTCATATCTAACTTCTTCCTCTTGGGTTTCTGGAACCGCAGCTGCAACAGGGACTGGAGCTGGGATTGGGTTTCCACCTTGTTCAAGATCAATCAATGGAGCAGCATCAGTTCCATTAACAGATAATTGTGCAAAGTTATCCAACAATCTATCAGCAATTTTCTCTTTATTCTTCCCAATCAAAGATTTCTTCCAAAGATTGACAACTTCTTGGACTTTAGTAGCATCAAAACCATAATTGGCTGCAAATAAGGCAGCTTCAGTATATCTTTCACTTTTAACCAATAAATCCAAACATTTTTGCTTATCGCCAGTCAACCACCATGCTTGCCATGCTATATTATATTTCCCTTTTGATTCACATTCAGTGGCCAATTTAATTAAATCTGGCTTATTGTTAGATGATGACAATAATAATAATAACGAAGAATAATCATTGGCTAACCAGAATGATTCTTGTGCCAACCTTATCTGCCATTTATTTAAAGCCAAATCACCCAATTTCTTCCATTTATTAGTATTTGCTAATGCGGTTGAAGGATTTTGTTTTTGATTTTGTGATAGTAATTCATAAGCTTGTTTTAAATTACCAGTTGAAAGGGAAATTTCAAATTTAGAATCAAAATCTTGAGAAAGGGCAAATGAAAGTGCCAAATATCCTAATTTTTCAAAGAAACGAGATAATTGATTCAATTCGGTCTTATTGAATTCAGAAATAACACCAAGATATTCTTCTGATAAGTTTTCCATGGAAACAGTGGATAAATCAGGTATTTCCTCACCGGTTTCTTCATCAGTTATTGTTTTGGAAGCATATTGTTCTAAATCACCTCTCATTACTAATGTTTGTAATTCCAACATTTCTGCATTTACATACCAAGATACAACATCAAAAGATTTGTCAATTAAATATAATTTACCATCAGTAGCTTTATATCCAATAATATAGAATTTATGATCAAAATGACCCAAGTTTATTACTTCACCACCAACGAAATAATTTAATCTATTAGTGGTTGCAGTAGTATAGACAAAGACATCCCCAATGAATTTACCCGATAAGATTGATTCTGAAGTTGGCAAAGTATATAATACATCAAATGCAGATTCAGCACCTTCTTCAGTATCCAATTCATCCTTTTCAAAAGCTTCTTCAAATACTTCATGATTATAACTTAAAAAGTATGTTTCATCATTCTTCTTACCACCAATTCCACTATTTTCACCTACGCTAGAAGTAGTAACTATAGCTAACAATTCACCATTATCAGACCAGATAACATCGGTAATATCATCATCCAAATCCACTCTTCTTACTAATTTACCATGTTCCCAATCATAAAATGAAATACAACCTTCCAGCTTAACCCCTAATAAAGCACCTGGGAAGATTTTATCCGCTTGATAAATCAAATCAAGAACCAAAGTTTCTTGGAAATTCTTGAAAATCTTAACTGAAACATTTGATTCACGAATAGCATATGGACAAGCAGCAGAAGAATCATGAGTATTCCAACAGAAATCCAAAGCCTTACCATAAGCTTTTGATCTCCAGGCTAAAGCTGTATAGACGATATATTCACCATCACCACATACGGCTGCATATCTACCATTTGGAGAATGAGTCAAAGATTGTGGGAATATTTCAATTGTACCTAATTCTCTTTGTTGTATCGATAATGATTCACCATCTTTCAAACCTTCTGAAGAGGAAGGTTTGATAATTGATTGGAAAACTTCGGAATTTTTCCCATAGATTAATTTTTGATTTGAATCCATTGAGAATAATGGTTCTTCATTACCTAATTTGATAATAACAAATCCGGAATCAAACCCGGCAGCAATAAGATTCGATTTAGGTAAAATTCCAATACACCATACTCTTTCTAAACTATAATTGATAGATTTTTCTAATTTAAAAGTATTTGAATTCCAGAATCTAACAGTACCATCTTCAGAACCAGAAACAATCAATGGTAATTCAGGATGGAAGATAGCAAAAGAAACATTAGCTAAATGTCCTTCTAAAGTAGCAACACAAGATTTAGTTTGATAATCCCAGATTTTAATTGTTTTATCATCTGAAGAAGTAATCAAATACGGTTTATCAGCTTGAGGATAATAATCAACATAATTTACCCCCTTTGTATCATGGGCAATCAATGTGAAATTAGGTTGTGAAGAACCCAAAGACCAAATTTTCACGGTTCTATCTAAACATGCCAGCGCAAAAGTATTTGGATCTTTTGGATTAAAATTAACGCTCATAACATAATGTTGATGTCCTTCAAAAGTTTGTTCTAATTTCCAATTATTTTCCCAATTCCATAATTTAACAGTTAAATCATCACTTGCAGTTAAGATATATGGTTTAGATGGATGTACCGCAATGCTTCTAATATAATCTGGATGAGCTTCATATTGAGTGATTTTTTCACCAGTATTATAATTATAAACTCTGATTTGGAAATCATCTGATCCAACTACTATACAATTCTTACGAGCAATAAACTTACCAGTACGTACAGGCAATTCAGTTACTTGGATTGATTTAACTAATGTATTGGTAGCATATGACCAAATTTCAATCTTACCATTATATAAAGTGGTTAAAATCCATGGTTCAGTAGGATGGAAATCAATTCCCTTAACTCTGTCTGAACGAGTAGAAAATTGTTTAACAACGTCCAACTTCATCTTGTGTACTTCTTCTAAATAGTTGTTTGTATGAATAATTGACTTGTCGTTCTTTGTTCAATAGAAATTCAACAACACCCACGCACTCTGATTGTCAGTTGAGGCTCTGTTGCCATTTTTTTTTCAACAAGAAAGTTAACACGGTAATACACTGTGGGATTTTTGAACAGTTTACACGACTATCATGGTTCCTATACATCTATAAACTTATTTATATACTAATTACATATTCCTTTCTTCTCTATAAATTGTATATAACTCTTGTATCTCATTCATATATTCAATCCATTTCTCTGTAAATACCTTATTTGAAAACTTCTGTTTCACAACTTCTTGTCCGTTAAGTCTCATCTTATTAAGTCTATCTTCACTAATCGATTCAGTATTATTCACATATAATTCAGTCAAGAGAGTTTTAAAAGTAGGAAATTTCACAATTTGATCACCTTTCACAATTTCAAAATTGATATATCCTTCAGTTTCTTCCTTATCTTGAATACTTGGATCAAGATCGGGATCATCCATACTCTTGAAAAAGAATCCAGAATCATTATGCCAATCAATCGTTTGACTACCAGTAACAATATCCATCAATGGTCCAGCCGAGGCATGTACAATTGGAATAGCTCCTCTTGCCATATATTCGACCACTCCAATTCCAAAATGTTCATTCCACATGGCATTGAGTCCGAATTTACATCTTGATAACCAAGAAACAACTTCATCATAAGAAATATCAATGGCAAATTCGACAAAATTATCCAATTTCAATTTTGAAACCTCGTCTTTCAAATTATTGAGGGTAGCAGTATCATCTTTGGTTCTACATGAACCAGCAAATACAATAGTTGGGATTTGCTCGGTTGGTTTGGAAACATTGGGGAAATTAGAAGATAAGAACTCCTGATACTCTTTCAATATTAAAGAATGACGCTTTTCAGGTCTGAATTGAGCCAAGTATAATAATTTATTCTCCCGAGGAACAGTTGGATCAGTATTTGTAGTCAAGAATTCGGTTCCACAAGGTGGATATAATATTTCTAATTTATGACCTAAAGCCAGATTCAAATACCATATATCTTGTAAATGATTAAATGTCCAAGTTCCATTAGCTAACCCAATATCTACCATTGAACCCAAATATACATAAAAATAATATAATATTGACCAATAAATAAATTTCCCCAATTCAAAAAAATCCCGTACACTTAATCTTAATTTATTTAAATCATCAAATTTCTTAAATTTCAATTTATTAAACATATCATTTTGAATAATTGGATAATGATTATATGCCAAAATTGGACCTTTGAAAAGTAATGCCATAATCAAATAACTACCTGGAAGTCCCATAGTATCTATCCATACATCAGGTGAAAGTGCAAATAAAGCTTCTCCAGCTAATAATACACTTCCCAACAATTGTCCAACTAATGTAAACCTCTTCCAATAATTCCCATCAATTAAATTTGCAAATCTTTTTAAATAAAGAAATACAATTCTGGTTGAATCCATATCTGAAATTTGAAACTTATCTCCAGCTTTACGCAAAATTTCTTCTGGCAGTGATTCAATATTCGTCGTATATATGACTACAATATTTTCTGATCGAGCTAATAAGGTAGCCTTGACAGCTTGCCAAAGTACTCGTTCACCACCTCCTCCATTATTTGCATATGGATGAAAGAATCCATGTATGGTTTTATTAGGGAAGGATTCATCGAATCTTGGGGTTTGTTTGTCATTGGGATTTATTGTTATTTTATTACTTAAATAATTGGTATAATATGATGGATTTTCACTTGTAAGTATCAATTGACGACGAGTACTTGATTTTCGATGTTTAATATTTGAAATATCATTATTGTTGATTTGATCTGTCAAATTCTTGTGAGATACAAGAAGAAACTTCGGGATAATCCTACTTATCAACTGACGGATAATGAGTACCACTAATATCACGCTTATTATCAACCACATTGTCACGATTGATATTATGGACTTAGTGTTTATATGGAGCTGACTATCTGACTGTTTCTAAGTGGAATCTGAATCCCTTTATTACAAATAAGTCGTGCATAATGTTCAACTTGTTCAGTGAGTGAAAAAGTTGAAAAAGTCGTGTGCTGGCAGGAATCATCAGATTTGACACATCAATTGAACAAGCAATGACACTTAGTACGGTTCTCTGAATGTAGAATGTCTGTTCGAGGTATAAGCCATTTATCATTGTTTGCCTGGTATTACACAAGACTTTTTGCAATTTCTTACGTGCTCAATTGCAACATCAACCACAGTGGAATAGTCAATGTAAAATACGAAAGGGTTAAAAATAGGGGGGGGAGGAAATACCAGCAAATTGGGCGAGTGGTATGGTGGTGATATATATTATTATTATTTATAATTCTTGACTTTGTAGTCATTAAAGTTGTCAATGAGGTATTCATAAAATCTGTAATTAATTATGTTTCCTAATTGGGATAAATTACTTCGATTACATAATCAAGTATTTGCTATACGCGTATTTAATTTTATTCATCACTCACATTGTACAAAGGAACCGGAAAAAAAGTTTGTCAGTCACTCATTAAAATCAATTTCATTTTACAATCATTCTTTCAAGTTTTTATTTCACAATCCCACTCTACCTTTGTTTCTTTCTTTCCATTTGGAATTTTAACTCCTTGTTTTAAGTTTCGACATATTTGACTTTCTTTTCAGGCTTTCAATATATCTAAATCATACAGTTTACTACCAGCTAGGTCAATCGTTTAACATCTACCCAAGCCACATCCTCCGACGACTGGCATTCCCAAAAGAAACACAGACTTTTATAAATTAAACTGAAAAGTTCAACATTTAGTCTGATAGTACATTACACTACTACTACTACCTGTACTAGTATGAACAGAACTCTAAGAGAAAACACATCCATAAATTCACAATCTAGTAATAGCAACACGAGCACAATGTCTGGCAATTCTCCATTCATGAATTCAAAAACTACCAATCTTTCCAATGGAAGTAACACGTCTTCAATCACATCTCCAGAATCAAATGATATATCATTCTCATCCATAAATTCAACAACTTCCTCCGGCTCCAAATTGAAAACCCCATTGAAAAAGGAAGAACTTGAAAAAATTGCGCGTCAATTAAAGAAGAAACTTTCAAAAGCTAGTATAACTGCCAAACAAGCATTATCTCCCACAAATGTAAGAAGACCTTCCATACCCAAATCATCACCTTTGAAAGGATATCTAATGAAAAATAACATCAATAAAACCGGAGATTATTCACCTAATCAACATATGTCATCGTCTCCGTCTACGAATTTATATTCACCAAATGGGAAATCTCCAACTCATATAAGAACACCGGCTGCGATGTATTTGGCTTCATCTCCATTAAAGAATACCATGACCAATGACTCGGATGATAGTCATCTTGATTCCCCAACTAAAAAGAGAAGATCTTCACCTGGTAAACGAATGATATTGGAAGAAATTAGTCCATCAAGAACACATCAACAACATTCATTAAAACCATCTATAGACTTAACCGATAACAACAACAACAACAACACAATCAACAACACAAAAATCCCAATTGATAGACAGACCACTCCAACTTCACCGCCCAAAAAAGATCCAAATTTCTCTTCCAATCAAATAATGAAAACCCCGACCCAACCAAGATCATCCCACAATCACAATCACCAACACCAACAACCACAACCATTCAACACCGACACTGAAGGAGCCGATTTACTCATGTATTTAGCCACCTCTCCCTCCCCCGCCAAACCCTACTATTCCAACCACACTCCCCGCGCCATCAAACAACAACCACCCCCAACTCAACCCACATTCCTCGCCCCTCATCCTCCACCACCAGTCACACCAAAACAGCGTGCAGGTGGCATAAACGGAACCCTTGCCAATACAAGAACTCCCCAAAATCGTCTAACCCCCTTCCTCAACAATTTAAACGCCGGTGGAACAGGATTACCTAGTCTGGGCTTAACGTTAACCCCAACGGGTTTCAATATGAATGATTATGTGAATTTCTTTACACCTTCCCCCGGGGGGACTGCTAGTATAAATGCGAGGAATTTGTTAAAGACGCCGGATTTTAATAGTTTGATGAATGGGAATAATACTCCAAGAGGAGGGAGTAGTAAAGTGGATGGCAAGATGTTAAATTTTAATAAAGTATTGTTTAATCATCATGGTGATGGGGGTCAAAAAGAATAAAGGTGTGGAATAATGAAGGGGTTGGGACGCTGTTTGTTTCATTTCTTTTTGGATTCCGTAATTATTTGGGAATTTTGTATTTTATAGAATGTATTAGGATATAATTATTGTTTGATATTCTTTAACCTTTATTATAATATACGTTTTTTACAGATTTAAAGTGGTGGAAGGAATGGGGAATGTTTAATGAGGTGTGTGGATGCGAGGCTGACACATCCACTATTTATCGGTGCACACAGATATCAGTGTATCCTATCTCTTATTTATCAATCTTGTAGATTTGCGGGTGATTTTTACTAAGAAGTTAAGGATCTATAGACAATCTTAAAAGAGAATTATACATTATATGCGATATAGAAACGATTGAATCAAGGTAACTTAGCATATTGATGGTCGTGTAAAATTAGTCAACCTTCCATCATCTCACTGGTAATTTTTTCTTTGCATCTCCGAAGGAACCTTATACCATCCTTCTTTCATCCAAACTCATCACTTGAAAATGTCAGCCGAGGAACAAGTAGAAATAGAATCCAAAGTCAATGATTTAAAAATCAACGACAACAAGGACAATGGCTCCCCAGAAGCATCACCAGAACCAAAAGAAGAAGACAGTACCGGCACCACCACTACCAAAAAGAAAAAGAATAAAAAGAAAAAGAAGAAGTTAGTCTCCATTGATTCATCCTATCCAGATGGAATCTTCCCTGAAGGTGAATGGATGGATTATCCCCTCGATGTAAATTCCCATCGTACAACCTCAGAAGAATTACGTTATTTAGATCGACAACAAAACAACAAATGGGAAGATTTCCGAAAAGGTGCCGAAATTCATCGTCGAGTAAGACATAAAGCCCAATCATCAATCAAACCAGGAATGACCATGATTGAAATTGCCAATTTGATTGAGGATTCAGTTCGGACATATGCGGGCAATGAACATACTTTAAAATCAGGGGTTGGATTCCCGACTGGATTATCATTGAATCATGTTGCTGCTCATTATACTCCAAATACGGGGGATAAATTATGTTTGAGTCAAGATGATATTATGAAGGTTGATATTGGTGTGCATGTAAATGGTAGAATTTGTGATTCTGCGTTTACGATGACATTTAATGAAACGGGGAAATATGATGCGATTATGAAGGCAGTTAAAGAAGCTACGAATACTGGAGTTAAAGAATCGGGAATCGATGTTAGATTGAATGATATTGGAGCTGCTATTCAAGAAGTTATGGAATCTTATGAAATGGAAGAAAATGGGAAATTAATTCCTATTAAATGTATTAGAAATCTTAATGGTCATAATATTGGAGAATTTGTTATTCATTCAGGTAAAACAGTTCCAATTGTACCTAATGGAGATATGACTAAGATGGAAGAAGGTGAAACATTTGCCATTGAAACATTTGGTAGTACTGGGAATGGATATGTTCTTCCAGAAGGTGAATGTTCACATTATGCAATGAATGTAGGTGTTGAAGGTTTAAGTGCTCCATCTGAAAGATCGAGACAATTATTGAATCATATTAAGGCTAATTTTGGGACATTGCCTTGGTGTCGTAGATATTTGGAAAGATCAGGTGAAGATAAATATTTATTTGCATTGAATCAATTAGTTAGAGCTGGTATTGTAGAAGAATATCCACCCATTGTGGATAAGAGAGGTAGTTATACTGCTCAATATGAACATACTATATTGTTGCATCCTCATAGAAAAGAAGTTGTTACTCGTGGTGATGATTATTAGGGGTATCACCCCACCTCAAAGAGTAAGTAGGATGTATATTGTGTATGGCTGGTGCGTGTGTGTTCTAATAGATGATATTGAATGATCGATAAGCCTTGCAAGAGGGTTTGTAGTTACCGGAGTTTACTTTTACAATGAAGCGAGGGAATGCCCCGCGAAAACCGGGGGATAGGAAGTTACTTCCCAATGCGGAAATTAATGGGTTTAAAGTCATGTGATTATATCAAAATATTGTAGTAGACAAAGAAGAGAACATCTTATAGTTCTCGCTTGGGAGGCGCAAGTAATATAATATCAAATAGAGATAGGGGTAGTAGTAGTGTGATATTTCTTTGCAGTAAACTTTAATCTGATGTGTGTCAGGTGAGTGAGCGATCAAAAGAGAACAGGATGGCTACATAAACATTAGACAGAACAAACAAACCAAGAAAACGATATTCTAGAAGAAGCCATGTAGGATTCTAAATCAACGAAGAATTGTAGTTAGATATTCTGGGGGAGTAATTGTTTCCCCCACTTAGTGTATGTGTATAATGGTGGAGATAATGAATGAAAAATTCCATATGCTTTTACAAACATATACACACAATTTTTTAGTTGTACAAAAACTTAAAATTTCTTAGTGTGAGAATTGGTTGATTTAATTATAAAAACCCTTTAACTTTTTCATATTTTAAATATCAATTGATTTGTATCTATATAAATACAACTACTCCATTCTTTCTTTACTTCAATTTTGAAAAGACAACGTAAGTCTCATTTAATTTTCATAGTCACTTTTCACACATAGAAGTTTACAGTGTAATTAATTAAAGCATAGTTTGTATTTTTTGACAGGTAACAAAAACAAAAACAACTAACAGGAATCATTCACTAAAATTATAATTTTACACTTTGAATAAATTCTTCTATTTTTGCAGTTTATTTTTAATTTTTAATTTTTACAGTTATTCGTGTTTCAAAATTCCCACTAACAATTTACTACAACCAACTTATACTACTATAGCAACAAATCTATCATTACAATAAATAAATTACCACATATATCACACAATGGAAGTATCCCCTAGTACATTAGAATTTTCAGGTATGTTTCATTCAATTTATGTTTAACACTACTTTTCTTTACCCCCTATTGACAAATTAGATAGAAATTCATATAATTTGGTGATTTGAAATGCTAATTCAATACTTGGCAACTTACATATCAAAATGATTTGACAATATTAATAAGTTGAAGCTCATTATTTATACCCCATTGGCATTGACGCTATAATTGAATTAAAGGATTTGTCAAGGGATAGTAGAGGTTAACACAGGTGTTTTATTCTCAGCCCCACTTACTAACATCCTTAAATCTATAGGTAGCTTTACCAAACAAACCACGGAATATTTAACTTTATCCAACCCAACAGATACCCCATTGGCATTTAAAGTGAAAACTACTGCACCAAAATTGTATTGTGTAAGACCAAATGCTAGTATCATTAATCCAGGTGAATCTTTACCTGTTTCAGTAATATTACAAGGATTTTCACAACCTTTACCTGCTGATTATAAATGTAAAGATAAATTCTTATTGGTTTCTTTACCAGCTCCAGAATTAACTGATCCAGCTACTGTAGGTGAAAAATGGTCACTTTTAGAAGCTAAATATAAATCTCAATTAGTTTCTAAGAAATTAAGAGTTAATTATCGTATTGGAGCTGATAATCAACAACAAGACGAAATATTAGAAGAAAAAGAAAGATTATCACCAAATAATGTTAATAGAACTTTTGATGAAACTGTATCAACTCCAAATCAATCATTTGCTGCAAGAGAAGCATCCCCAGTACGTTCATCTGTTCCAGTTGTTACACCAAAACCAGCTCAACCAGCCCAAGAAGTTCCACAACCTGTTCAGCCCCAACCCCAACAACAACCGGCACAACAAGCTCCACAACAAATCCCACAACGTGTTCAACCAATTGCTACTTCGACTGGTCCCACCTCCCCTGTTGCCCCCTCTTCTGCAGCTCAAGCATCACCCGAATTACAACGTGAATTGGATGCTTTAGCAGAACAAGTCCGTTCATTATCTTATAAATTGGATCAAAATGAGAAATATGCCGGTGGTAAACGTGGTGGACAACAAGTTGCCGTTGAAGAACCAGTTAATGGAATCTCATTACCTATGGCTTTAGTTTTAGTTTTGATTGCTTTCTTACTTGGATGGTTAGTGTTTTAAACATCATAATCATGAAGAAAAATATTGTCAATGAATAATTTGATAATGAATATTTGTTTAACTAGGATTTTTTGTTCATCTATGTTGAAGGTATCATTATTAAAGAGGTTTTTGACTAGGCGTTACTGTTTAATATTGCAGAAATTTATTGTTGAAGTGTCATGATATTACTCTCTTGCTTTTGTCTATTTAATTATTCTTTAGTTTTGTATGAATTATATTAATTATATACTTTTTTATATTGATATATTACTTATATCGTTAAATTTACATGAGATTACCCATCGCAACCTCTTTTAATCTTTCTGAGCTCACTAAGGACTTGAGATTCAGACTGAAGAAGGACGGATTTCATACTGTAGGATTGAAAAGCATGGCTTCGTTCAGACCCTCGCTTTTTATATGGATTGGTTGCAAAAACAAAAGAATAAATTATACAAGAAATCAATACAAACAGATTTGTTGATGTCTTGAATTAGAAGAATAACTATAAATTAGTGTTAGTAGCTGATATCCAAACATACGTGCATAGCTTAACCATTTGGGTGTTGTTAAAATGATATTTGTAATTTATAGATATTTTGGTTGCAAAAAGACAAGAAAAAAAATAGAGCATGACAAATTTGTCAGGTTATGTTTATAATTTCGATGATTCATAAAATGAATTTCTAATTCTTAGAGTATTATGTGTATGTATTGTAGGAGAAGCTGATATTTAGGAGAGATGTCAGGAATCTATTACCAGTTGGTTTTGTGGCACACAATTGAACTTTATAAAGATCAAATAGTCTATATACAGTGGCAGTCTTGAATTGTATGCATTGGCTGAAGAGAACAATCTGGAAAGCAATGACATCCGTGTTATACAAACGACAGTCGTGGGTTGTAGACGGAAATCACGTACTACCATTTTGATAGCATGGAGGTCGTTCCAAACCAAACCATCAAATTCGACCAACGCATGCTTCGCTGCCATTAAAGCTAGCTTTATATCGACTTACAATGCTTCTACTTGTGGTAGTTTGACAAACCACTAGGTCCTACTATATCTTTCTTGTAGCCAACGTCGCAATGCTACAAACCTGGGTAGCTTCTATTGTTCAGAGTGCCCAATATCGACTTACAGAATGGGTCGTCCCGGTTCACCTTGAAACCTACCAATAAACCAATTACTCCGTCGATTTGCCAATATCATTTACGTCGACACTCGCCACGCGGTAGACACCATTTCTTTGCCTTTAAACCCCTATTAAAATGTTCTGCGGCTGATTTGCAAAACATCCACCTGATATATCTAGCGCCAAACGCACCGACATGGGCTCGGCACGGTTGCTCCGACGCTAATGCTGCTACGGAAGCTTCGATTCAAAATTCGCTAGCTAACTACTCTACCACTGCCTGTTTCTATCTTATTGGGGTTTGCGACACTCATCCTTACTTGCATTCAATATTTTCATGTACCTACGGCTGATCCCATTTCGCATTTATCGCTATGTTTTCCCACCCTAAACCAACTGCTGAGGTTTCAACTTAAAAAAACTGGCTGGTAGCGACACTATTTTGTAAAACCGTCCATCTAAAATGATACAACTTGACAACTTGCCAGAATGGAGCTTTCTTCCCACCGCCCTGGTGTCGATCAAGCCAATTCACAAAAAGTCCTTGAACTGGTTCCACTATATTACCTTCAACCTCCTGGCACCCATTCATGTTCATATTGATGCCTCTCATTATGCTGTTGCTGCTGCTGTACTTCTCCAACCAGATTCAAATGGCGTCCTTTCGAATATAGGTCCAAGAAAGTTTGATGTTCACCAACAAAACTGGGATATTCATGTCAAGAAAGGATTTTGGGATCGTTCAGTTTGCTTGTCGAAAATTTCGTATTTTCCTCGAAGGTCATAGATTCATCATATACTTTGAATTATTCTACAATATACATCTCCACCATTTCTAGTGTAATATTCATATTAGTTCCCGATACTTCCCTTTGAAATCATTTGATAAGTATAGATACTAAGATCCTAATTAGGCTTGTTACACCCCATGATGACGTCTTCTTCCTTGGGGAAATGTATAATTGAACGCATATCTTAATTAATAGTAGAATCATCCAAGATGTAAAGTATTCCCATTATAAAGAAAATAAGAAGACTGGTACAATAATCAATCATATTGTTACCAGTCTTCTTATTTTCTTTATCATGGGAATACTTTACATCTTGGATGATTCTACTATTAATTAAGATATGCGTTCAATTATACATTTCCCCAACGAAGAAGACGTCATCATGGGGGACAAAGTTCTTTTTCTCAGGGAGTCATATTATCATGTCACCCTTCGATCAAGACATCACGGAATCACCAAGATTCCAAGAAGTCAGGTCTAGTTTTATCAAATTTTATAAAATCCAGTTTAGATTCCCCCACGTTTTAGAATTTTTCAATTTAATTAATAACCCCCCCAGATATAATCCCCGAATTTATATATATAATATCGTGCCGACTTGTTACCGTCCATTCAGGGATTCTAAAAATGATAGGCACCTGACGACTTACCAGTGTGGAATTTAACTCCACCCTGGTGTCGATCAAGTCAATTTAGAATATGCCCAGCCAATTGATACCAGCAATATGTAAATCACCGCCTCGAAGACATGCTGCAAGTTTTTGCAGTTGATTGATGGAGTATTGGAACCCAAATTAGCACGTTTGGAGAACTAAATTGAAAAGTCTTGCAATTCTAAATCTTTGCGGCATACAGCGACTTACCACGACTGTCAAGAATCCTTGACGCTAAAATTGAATTGAATAATCAATTAGAAACCCTTTTGACTTCGACTATTAACCCAAGCATCAAGTCGTCTCTCATTTACTCAAGAATTGTATGGATTCAAACTTGTTAAAGTATATTGAACAATTATATGGTAACTTCAATGAATCAGATAAAGTTAGGTACTCTCTTAAGTGTGATCCCAAATAAAGCCACATTTTATCAGAACTCTTCTGCCACATTAAGAGTTGAAACAACCACAGCAAGTTGATGAATTATTGAAAAACAATTTCATTAGAAACGTCACTCAAGATTTGGAGCACCAGCTATTCTGTACTACCAAAACCATTGAGGTTATGGATATTAATTAAACATGATTTAACTTTTATGAAGAAATCACCACTTTCTATCTATTATCATTATTAATTAAAGAGTCCAAACAAAAGACTGTTCTGAATTCTCTAAATGGGACGAGGAAGCAATAGGGGATATTTATATTTAACAAGCTGGTCAGCCGGTTAATTAAGTATGAATGGATTTACCCCGATCCATGAAAATCCAGTCCAATTCTCTCTAAATGATATTATCATCAACAATTCTTTATTTCCATGATTGGTTTATGATTTGATATATCTGTGGTTGAGATTTTGATTTTGGCGGTTGTTGCTAAGTGCTTAAACTTTTGACAGTAAGGAAAATCTTCATAGAAATTAACTTCAATATGATGGCAGCAGCATCAGCAGCATGGGGTTGGTTATTGATAAAGGAGTAGCAGTATTGGACTATTGGAAGATTGGGAAGATGTTTTCAATTTTGTTTCTGTGGCGGTTTTTTTTGGCAGCCAAATAGACTTCATCTACTTTCTAACAGACTTCTTCAAGTTGACAATTCTTCTTTGAGCATATTGAGTGACACAATGATTCTTTTGATGTATTGATGGAGATTGATGTGGTTTGGATAAACTGAGTGTAATTATATATGAAAGTGGTGGATTTCTTTGTGGAATCTGAGGGTTTACAATATAAATTAAAAATGCTGCAAAAAAAAATGAGAATCATTTTCAAAGTAAACAAATATTATTTGTGTAAGAGATTAGGAAGACAAAAATTTGCTCTGAATTTTTTGTATGGAAGACTTTTTTATATTAGTATTCTAATCTCATTCATTTAGCGGATAGGCTATACAATACTTCAATTGAGGTTTCCCCAGAACATAGCGAAAGTAGCAAATGCCGATATATTAGATATAAATTGAAGAGAGGTCGTGCACGGCATAAAAAGTGGTTAAAAAATAAAACTTGAGTAAAAAGAGGACTTTTTTATATTATTAGAGATAGAGACTGTACAATTTCTCCAACAAATTTATTTGAAAGTCTTAAGAGACACGTGTTTAAGGATTTTATAAACGAAAGTAAGTCGCGTTATTATACAATGGAGCCAAGATAAAACCGTAAATAGACGCTCAACCCTATCACGCGATAACATTACAATACATGGTTTGGCGCATTTACGGGATTGGATGAACTTAACCTACAGTCTTCAAGAAAGGCAGATCCTGCGAACCAATGGTTTTCTTTCCGGCCCTAATTTTTTTGCAACCATTTTCTGAAACTACTCACTGATTACATGTTTTGGAACTACAATACTACACTTGTAATTATCAATAATATAAAACATATTATATATTTCAAATAGCTAATAAAACAACAATAATAATAAAAACATATAAACACATATAAAGAAAAGGTATAATATAAAAAAAGATTGTTCTCTCGCATATATAAAAATTAAAAAGTAAAAACATAAAACCTCATAAGATCTCATCAATTACTCCCATCTCTCCCTCTCTATAAAAAGGAAAGAAAAAGATATATACAAGTAATAATATTCAAACAGGTTTAATAATAATAATAATAAATTAGTTTTCTATTCTGCAACACACCCGGCTGGCTTCTTCTTCTAGGAATGCTAGCGCATTCCTTATTTCATCGGCTTAATCAATTCAAAAGAACAATATAAATTATGATCAACATTCATAATTGCTCCAAAATTATTAAATTCTCCACAATAATTAGGGGCACTAAATAATGTAACCAATTTTCGTTTATTAAAAAATTCATAACCATCTTCAACAACCATATGACCTCTAACAATTAAATCCCATTTAAATGTATTACAAAAATGATCAACATGTTTTCTTCCAAAACAATACAGGACTCCACGATCATTCGGGGGCCAATTCGAGCTGGAGAATGATTTAACCAGGGGATCAGGGTCTGACCAAAGTAAATCAGTTAATAAACCGGCATCAGGAACATCAGTTGGACGTTTGATTGATTCGATTTGAGATAATTGATTTAATTGAGGTGAAAGCCCCCCATGAACACAAAAGATTTTATCATTAATAGTGGCAGCAATTGGAAGGGCATTAAAAACATCAATGAAATTTTTCCAAAGTTTTCGATTTATTAATCTTCGTTTACATTCATCATAAAATCCATAAATTTTAGTTATATTTGCTGATTCATGATTTCCACGTAACATAAAGAAATTCTCGGGATATTTTATTTTATAACATAATAATAATAAAATTGTTTCCAATGATTTATAACCACGATCAACATAATCTCCAAGAAATAAATAATTAGTATAGGGAGGATATCCACAACAATTAAAAATACGAATTAAATCATGAAATTGTCCATGAATATCTCCGACAATTTTAACTGGAGGTGATAATCTTAATAAACTTGGTTGATCTAAAAAGATTGATCTACTTTTACCCAAAATATATTTAATTTCTTGTTCTGATAATGGTAATTTATCCTTTTTCTTATGTTGATTTTTCTTATTAATTCCAATTTCAACTAATCTATCAATAATATTATCAAGATCAACAAGATTATCTTTCTTGGTAGTTGGGATAATTGGAGGAGAATTTGATAAACTTGAAGAACTAACTGATAAATTCTTAGTTAATTGTCTTGAAGCAGTTGTGGTAAACAGTTTATTATGTTTCTTTAAATTTTCTTTAGATAATAACTTTGGTTTATTATCAATTTCAGCAATAACATCTAATTTATTAACTGAAACATTAACTTTATTAACAATTTCTTCCTTGTTATAATAAAATTTATTAGAAATATTTGAACCATTGGAATTAACTGAAGATAACAGATCTTGTTCATCTTTGGTGCCTAAGGTGGTGAAAACTGGTGACTGGGTAGATTGACTATCTAAAGAAGAACCATAGCCAGCATCTTGATTTGCAACTGCAGCACCAACAAGAGTAGTAGATGATGGTGGCGCAGTTGGATTCTTCAATAATTTAGCCATAGAAATAGCAATAGTTAAATCAACATCATACTCATCACTGGAATGTGATTTCTTAGTCTTTCTAGAAACAGCAGCAGCACCAGCAGCAGTAGCAGGAGCAGGCGTAGTAGTATTATTATTAACAACTCTTTGATTATACTTGTAAATATTCTTCTTACTTCCAATATCAATAGCAGGAGAAGTGGAAGTATAAATAGTTTTCGTAGTACTAATAGACTCATTATTCATAACTCGTAAGGTGGTGGTGGTAGTGGAGGTGGTAGATTGCGATAGCGCAGGAGAAGGTTTCTCTTCTGGTTCTAATAAGTCGGTACTAGAACCAGTTGATTTGTTTGAAGTTGAAGTTGAGCTTCTCGGTAGGGGATCGACATCTTTAGAAGGGTTATTTCCCATTTGGTTTACTGTGTTGTTATTCTTAAGTTAATAAGCAGGTGGGGGTGTAACTAATCTATAAGATTTAATAGGGAGGAGGTGTTATTGGTTTTGAGTGGCGACGGGTTGATTGGTTGTTGACTTGAGTTGGTTGTAAAAAAAATGTTCGTTTAAACAGATGACAGGAAAAAAAACTGCAAAAGAACGGGAAAAAAAAAAAAAGAAATTGAGGCTCAGGAAAAGGTCGTGTACTTTTGTAAAAAGTTTTTCTAGTATCAACTGAGTGTTAAGGCTATGTGGTAGTTAGTTAGTTAACTAGATAGTATGACAAGTAAATGGAAAACCCGTTTTTTAAATAACTGAAAAAAACAAAAACAAACATAAAAAAGTCAAAAATAAAATTATTTATGTCTTTTGATGTTAAATTTATAATTTTAATTTAATTAATAAGGGAGCAATTCCAGAAGAAAAAAAAATAGGGGGTGGGGACCGAATGAGAAAACAGACAGACAGAACGATTTGATGAAATCGGAACAAAAGAAGGAGAATAAACCGTGAAAAAAATAATAAAAATATTTTTATAAAATTTTCCACTACCGGCTTTTATACTTAGTATCTATTTGGGGTTAATGTCATGCGTAGCGTATTAGTGTATAAGTGGCAAGTGAATGAACTCAGTAGTAATTGGTGCTCGGATTAATAGTGCGTAGCATATCAATGCACGTGGTAGCCAATGGTCGGGTTTTAGGTTTTTTTTTTTAATGTGGGGAGTCAGACAATAAAACCGAAATTCAAACAATTAATTTAACTTGAAACAAACAAAGAATTATAATTTGTCAGAAAATTTTATTGCAGTTTCATTTTAATTTTTCTGTCATAAATAATTATTAATTCCGAATATCGGCAGCGATTATCCGAAATACAATTTGTAGTTTTATATAATCAACAGCTATTTTCATTAATTTTCTATTTATAATCAGATTACACACATCCTCCGATTACATAAACATGACATTAATTAATTAGTAATACAGTACATTAGAGAACGCTAATATTCTCTTCTAGTAATCATAGGATTGTCAATTTTAAATATAGTAACTTTAACTTTAGTTTATCGTAATTTGTCAGGTACTAAAATTATCCTTCGGGCTTATATGAATCAAAAAAGCCACCACAATTTGATTCAATGCGATAACACCAAAGTTATGAAAGTACAAATACTTAAAACACCAAAGTGTACAAAGAATTTGAATCTGAAACTAGATAATGAAACTGGTGAGAACCACAGTTTATTATAAGCGAATGATAATTATATAACCATTGTGTGAAAATAATGGCAACTCCCCATTCTAACCGGGGGCATTCCAATTAATGACGTACTTGTGCTTAAGTAATCTAACAATTGATCTGAAGTGAAATATAGCATCTCTACTATTTTCATCACTTTCCAAAAAGCTGATGCCAGCTTTTCGTTCAACCCAGAGCACTACCAATCTTTTCGGAATATTCACAACATTTGACTAAACAGATAACCATCAACTAACTAATTAAGACAAAAAATTGTAGGATTGATTCCTTCAAGGTCTTTTTTTGTTGCAATAGTTTGTTGTTAATACTTTATTTAATCAAATTGACTGTATTCTTCTTTCTCATCCGACAAAGAACGTTCTTCGGCGTCTTCTGGATCCAACAGAGATTGATCGATGGTATCAATGGACGAACTGCAATACGTAATATAGCCATTTGTTTCCTTAGTTTAGAGAAAGAAAGTGTAAACAAATACAACCACAACAAAAGGGGCTTTTTCTCTCGAGGTGAGTTTTAATGCGGCTGACAGTTGGCCACCACTTTCGATTGCAAAATTTATTGTATTCTATTCACACAGACTGCCTTTCCCCTATCAACTACAAGAAAGACTCTCCATTTGATTCGTAATCGGTCAAAACCGTAAAATTTACGCACTTTATTATATCACTCTAAAGATAAAGAAATCAACTAAAACTTAAACAAACACTCCTAAAATAAAACAACAATCTAAATCTTTCTATCAAAATAACTTTGAATCATTCCAACTTCACTTTCATCATATTCAATCAATTCAACTTCATTATTTTCATTAATGAAACTATTAGCTTGAATAATCTTCTTTCTTGGTTGTTTTTTCTTTAAAACAATATCTCTAAATCTACTATATTCTGGATTAACTGTAGTCTTATCAACATAATAAGCAACACCCTCTTTAACATTACCAGTACATTTATAAACATGTAAATTACCCAAGAAATCACCCAAAGCATCAATAGCAACATTATCCAATTTAGATTCATCAATATTGATTTGCAAATCATCAAAATCCTTTGCTTGGAAATCTAAACTAAAAACACCAGCTTTATGTAATTGTTTAAAAATACCAAATCGAGCTTGCATATGAGGTTGACCCCATTTTGTCGATGATGGATCCCAGAATTCTAAACCAATTAAACCAGCTCTAATCATTAATAAAGTTGCAATATAAATCACATCTTTTTGATCTTCTGATTTATCAATGCCAAAAATAGGTAAAACTTCCAAAGGTTTCTTTAAAATCAAATACAAAGCAACCAATTCAGCTCTACATTCTTCAAAAGATCCAGCAGTAATACCAAACAATGAACCCCAAGTATCATTTGGTCCATACCAAGAAGTAATTCTTTCATCATTTTTATCAAAATTGAATTTCCCCGGGGATGTTTCTTGTAATAATTTCCCAGTACCATGACCTAATAATTCATGTAATCCAACTTGTACTTCAAAAGCATCATCTCTCCATTTCTTAAACAAAGCTTCCTTACTAGGATCAATAAACGTAATAGCTTCTGGCTTTTTTGGATTCTTGGGATTGGCCAGTAAGACATTTCCCAAACTAACATTCTTAAATCCATAATTCAATCTAACATCATCATAATTAGGAATATTAATTCCAGCAGGAATACCAGACCCAGCAAAAGTCAATACTTCTAACGAGGTAAAATCAGGTGGAGTAAAAGTATCCTTTTCATAAATCTTATCCCAAGGTAATTCCTGAATAAAATATCCGGCATTTTCAACCAATTTCAGGAATTTGGCAGTCCGTTCATGATTAACCATTGCCACTAAACCTTCCCATTCTCCTCTAACACCCGATGGATCACGATAGGTTTCGATAAATCCGATATTGGATTCGACTTCGGGTTTTATATCCTTGACCCATTCGATTTGGGATTGTTTATGAGCATTCATGGATCCGGTTTTGAAGGATTCGATATAATAGGAGATTAAATTCTTTTGAGTGGGGTTGGCAACGTGGTTTAAACCAGCTTGGAGATTTTCAACAATTTGTTTAAACTCACCAGAACCATCACCGAATTTAAATGAAATTTTCCAACCTTCTGGGGTGGTGATTGATTGTTTTGGATAATAATCGGTGGTGTTTCCAGTTTCGGCCGAGGCGACATGAACGATAAATTCACCCTGGGAAACCTTTTCAACCCGAGTATTTTCTGGCATGATACCATTTGAAGCTAATGTTTGATTAATTGAATCAACTTCAGTTTTGGTAATATCTGGACTATTTGGATAATAATTTGAAACTTGTCCCTTTTCAGGCCAACCTAAAAGACTTCCGGTATCAATTTCATAAATTGAATGTCTAACTTTTGAATATAATTCAGAAACCTTACCATTCCCAATTGAATTAATTAAATCATCAAATTGATTAACTTCAATCCTAGGAATAAACTTCACATCACCAAATGATTTATAATTCCCCAAATTACTTAAAAATTGACAAACATATTCCAAATAATAATTAACCACGATTTTATCAACTTGGGCTAATTTCTCTTCATATTCGGAATTGGTTTTAGGTTGTCCCAAGACTTCATGAATTAAGATAATTAAATCATAAATATCTTCACTTTCTGGTGAAACTGATCTCAAAACAGCACGAGATCCATGAAAACTGGCACGGGAAAGATAATGAGCATATAATTTAGCATCTTGAGTCAGAAGAGCATCGAAATGTTTTTTGGCGGATAAACTGACAATTGGGGATTCAGTGTCGGCGTAGAAGTGTTCTTTGGCCATAATTGAGTGAGTGATAATTGAGAATTGGAGGGTAATTGAGTTCGAGATATAAATCAAGGGTGAGGGAGAAGTTGGGGGAACTTTATATGGTTGGGGACAGGACAACCTTTTTTTTCGAGGGGGGAGTTTTACCCGTTTTGCTGCTGCCGTAAGAATCAATGGCAAAATGAGACATTTAAGATCACGACATATGTCGCTCGTTGTGGTGAGTATAAAAACAATTAGACATCCACAATATAAATTTCAGATTAATCCGAGGTTGTTTCTTTGTTCAAACAGTTTAGTAAAAGATGGCAAAAGTAAAGCAAAGTCGTGCCAAACAAGTAGAAGGCAAGAAAGAGGAGCCCATAGATGAAAGGGACAACATTGGATCCGATGAAGATGAAGATGATTATGATGAAGAAGAGGATGAAGATTATGACCCAACCAAAAAGAATGAAGACGAAATAGGTGAAGTTGACGAAGAGGATGAGGAAGAGGAGGAAGACAAACAAGAGAAAGTACCCGACTTTTCAGCAATAGAATCAAATACTACACAAGTCCGTACTCGAGCACAACGATTACATGAAGAAATAGAAACCTCATCGCGATATATTGGAAATTTTGAAACGGATAATCGAGGATTAGTTAAAGACACGGCACGAATTGATGTGGATTCCATATTTGAAGATTTGAAAAATACCAAGCTGGCCAAGGAAATAGCCGACGAAGAAGCCAAAAACATTCAAAATCAATCATCGCAAGAGCAGCAACAACAACAAGAACAACAAAAACAACAATCTTCAGGACCCAAGAAAATCAAAATCGAAACCAATTACACCTTCGCCGGTAAATTAATCACCGAAACCAAATTAGTAGATGAAGATTCCCGAGAAGCACAAGCCTACCTCAGTTCAATAAGCTCCATCACATCCTCATCCACATCCGATAAACCCCATCAAAGAACCCGAGTCAAAATATTCCGCAAGGATCCAAAATCAGGCGAAACTCTTGAATTACAAATCAAATTAAAGCGTCCTTCATTGATTGATAAATTTCTTTTAAATCATAATAAACGACAAAAATTATCTACATTGGAGAAATCAAGATTAGATTGGGCTAGTTTTGTGGATAAAAGAAATATTGGCGATGAATTGAAGTTGCATAATAAGGCGGGATATTTGGATAAACAAGAGTTTTTGGGAAGGGTGGAATTGATGCGGGATTTACAATATCAGCAGGCAAAACAGGAGGAAAGGAAGAAACAAGCACAATTGCAACAACAACAGAAGCTTGTATAGAAATGTGTATGATAAGACACTTCTAGATAAACGAATCAAGGGATGTGTGTTGAATATCACAAGGACGTTCATATCAGGTAACCGTTCCCAAGGGGGGCGAGTTGACGAAACTGGCATCAACGAATCGATGAGAGAATCTACTCTGCTTCTTTAGTGTGTGATCTAGCTGTTGGAAGAAAACTCCCACAGTACTGAGTGATTTAGCTTCCCATTGTAACCCCAGCACTATTCCAAATCGAAAAGTATCAATGCTTAGAGATACGCACGATATCTTAATAGAGCGTTTGGCAATGGATATATTCCAGTAGTGTATACTTTGGTATCTAGTAGTAGTGAACTCTCTATTTAATACAACAATCCCATTGATTGATGAATCGACAAAGACAGGCTTTGAGCCCATGCAACTCTAATAGAGAATAAGATCTTATGACTTCAAAAGAATTCTAGACCTCTCCTATAAATCCATAATGAATCTTAACCAATGCATACTTATGATTAAGAACTCTGAATTATGTTTCTCAAAGCAGCAAAAATATTTCGGAAACTCTAGCTATAAAATCCGCTGAGATATTACGAACCCACACAGGTGGTCATGTGAAATCGTTATCTCCGTCGAAGGTACACGTTAGTATTCCTGAATGCGGTCCATACTACTGTTTGTTAACATACAAGTCGTTCAACACCTACTCACAAGTAATCGTATGACCACACAAGTAAGCTAATTATTCTAATTACAGTCTAGCAAACGTGGTACCGCGTTCTTAAAAATAGAAACAACAAACCACTCTAATTTTAAATTAAGAAACAATGAATGTCATTATTTATAGTGGGGACCTCATTGTTAGATTGTACTATTGTTTTTATTGTTCTCTATTTCAGAATCACATTTCCGGAATCTGGGACAGCTGTACTGCAATTTAGATTAAGAAATGGATGAACGGGAGTGAGTGATTAAGTATCATCGTCAGTGTACTATGTCTTGATATATCATTCGATAAGACATGGGGTTTGGGGATTGCGTTGCAACAAACTAAAATGGTGCAATTTCTTTCAAATAAAGAAAAGTTCCATAATTTGTTGACTTTAGCTCATAGAGGAAAGGAGATCAGGGGGTTTGCAAAACTTTGTAGAATTTCTGAGAGAATATTTGATAACTAGGTTTGCAAACCCCCTGATGATCAGAGAATATTTGATGAAGATCCTGCAATGTGTTAGGCTGTCAGATATTTTTAACATAAAGAAGTAAGGGTCGCGCTCTCAATGACTGATAGTTGCACACATCTGATAGATTGCAAAAAGCAAATGATTAGCATGATTAATGATAACTAATTTTAGATATATCATCCATCCATCCATCAGCCTACTTTTATTTGTTGATGTTTAGGTCATAATTGGAAACGGGCGTTAGATCAAGGCGGAGGAATGTTCTATTTGATTCATTGTGTAAGTTGCAAAAAAAGAACAATGGGGCTTCTAGATTGTTTAAAAATGGCTGACGTCATACAAAAAATAAATAGAAGATTACCGAGGATTTTGTGTCCAAAAAAGAAACAAAGTTATCCAAGATTTTATTTTTTTTGGGTGAATTTGCAGCTTGTGTCACAATCAAATGTTCACGCGGATAAAAATGTCGTCTGACGATGCAACATTTTTTATTATTACTAATTTTATTTATTTTTTCTCTTCTCGTGTTTTTAATTCTGAGGTGGCATTTACGAATTACAATTTTTTTTACAATACAAAAATAGAAAAAATTGTCTGACTAAGCAGCAGGAGATTACGCGTATCATCAGATCAGTACAATATCTAAATATTTTTGACATCTGAAAATTTATATGTAGAAATAGGTCTAAAAATAGATTTGTAGGTCAATGCGCGTCTACAGGAGTACTCCTGTATCTCCAGATGAATTAACCAAACCCCATCAGGGGGTTCCAATTCCTTTGGGAATGAATGACTATTGGTTATGAAAACGAAAGACATTTGATGCGTGTAGCCCTGGTTGGCTGGTTAATTTAATTTTGGATTTTTCTTTTCTAAAATGGATATTACCATTCCCTTTTCATACAACAACACCCCCCCCTTAGATAAGCCAAGAAAGAATTGAGAAGGTACAAAAAAAAAAGAGTTTCTATTTATAAACCTTACAATCATTTTAAATTACAGAATAGGATCGAGAAGAGAAGAAAGCTTAAGATGTCGTCAAGTGTACTGTTGCATCTCTATCTCTCTTTCGTTTAATAATAATTAAAAAAGAGTATTGTTTAGGTCCCGCTTTTCTTCTCCAATTGTTTAATCAGATGATTGATAGATTATGTAAATTGGGGATGAAAAGGTTCCAAATCGTTTATTACAAATTTTCTTAGCCTTGTTCAGACTTTTGCTTGGATTTTGATACCCCGATCTTGATATAAATGAGTGAATTTGCAGGTGGGTACATCTTTCCACTCAAAAGTAAGGTCCAAGATTAAAATCACCATTCCAACAATAAATATGTTCGGTGTTAGATCCATTGTTTTATTTTTCTCTCTCGTTCTCTCTGGTTCTTTCTGTTACGCCGTGTGTGCCGAAATGGTCTTTTTTTTTGGGTAAAGTATATTAGGGTTTTGTGAAGTTAACTACTCATCTCGTCAATGTCAATTTGCCCCTCTAGATGAGTATGTTTACCAGAAGGATGGCGATTGCAATAATAAACGTAAACGAAGCATGGGAATCACCAGTTGTATTTGTCGATTGTACATTTCATTGTCCTACAAAACGTGTGAATACAATTTGGTACCCTTGTTACCTATTGTGGTATCCCACAATCTTGGCATAAAACTTGAATGATAAGAAGAGATTTGTAGTTCAGACGTGTTTACATATATAAAGATCCCCTATTGCAGTCAGCGTCGAGTATACAAAAACAATTGGCTACTGTATGGTAGTTAGGCTAATTAGAGTATATTGATCCCCCAATTGATCCCCCACTTACATGTAGTTGGTAGGTACAGTGTTGTACATGTACTATGTACAACAACACTTCATAATATCAATAAATTTAATTTAACCAAATTGAGATTCGCGTTTATCCAAAATAAGCTT